CTGTTTGCCGTCAGTACTCAATAATAATAATATAATATTAATTCATACAACCTTACCTATTGAAAACAAACACCAGTAGAACGTTACCGAAAATCTATACCATTGTCTATCTGTCTATTCTACCTTGTCCTAGGGGAGCGGCGCGATCTGTGATCGTCTAGTGAGCCCGCGCTGCTGACACCCATACGGAAAATTGCCCGTGTCCAGCGCCCCAGTGCGTTGTGGCACAATTTTTGGACGTCCCTTTACTTTACAAGGGACCAATCACGATTTTCCGTTCCCAAGAATTAGAGGTGGTGTGTGCGATGTTCGGCTTCGAGAGGGGGGATTTTTATCCCGAGACGCGTCTGGTTGTTACTACGAAGGCCGAGCGAGTTGGGAAATTTGAAATGAAATCGTCCAGAGGTCGCGATAACTTTGTTTACGAGAATCGACTCTCTCCCGAGAATAACACCAGCGCTTCGTAAAAAAAATGTCGCGACTTGTAAAACGCAATATGGATAGAATCAAAAATTGCTCGTTTAATTTTTTTTTTTTTTTAATCGATTCCGACTCCGTCTAAATGTAAAATAGGCAACGCCAGCGACGGCCATGGGTTGCCTACACGTTACACCTTAAAAACGATTTGACCAACTCCAAAATGTAATTATAAATCAATATTATAATTTACAAATATGAAGAATTACATGTCTGCAAACGAATCGCTCGCGAAAAAGTCCACGCCGAAAGTATGATCGTATTTCTGCGCATTTTCTTTCAATATATTCCAATTTAACAAATGTGACTTGTTTCTTTTTATTTTTTTTTTTTTTTTTTAATATTATTTTTATACAAAATTGTTAAGTTTAAATTCGACTTTATTGCTGTGGACGAATTATCTGTAGATTATCTTCATTCAATACACCAATGAATACCCAATTGTTACCTTTAATTTAAAAACTAAGGCTTCGCGTAACCAGATTATATATTATATACAAATATAAATAACAACAAACAGGTATTAAATAGGTAATAGATTATAGAAAAAAGTTTTTTTTTTGCAAATTGACTCATATTTTAGAGTTAAGACTTTGGAAAATTTTTGTTTATGCATATTTTGTCAATTTTCAACAATGGAAAATTCACGCTAATCTTACAGATGTTCAATACACTAAATCCACAGCAGTTCTTGTTTGCGTCGAGTACATCAATGCTGTAACCAGAGAGGTGCCCATAAAGTTAACTATTTAGTTCCAGTATATCATATTGATTCTATTAATATAAAGATTGATGACTAATAATACTACAATCTAGAGTATATAAAACTCCCCATATGTTACATTTAAATACAAAATTAAAACACTCTCCTAAAAATTACTGGCTACACGCCTACACATCTGACCACTATAATATATACAAGGTGATTTATCGAGTATGATCGCCTTGTTTTATCCTTTAATAATAGGATTATTCAAATTTTGATTTTTCGGTTTTTTGACTAAATATTTTAAAAACTATCATATTCTAAAATATTCATATTTAGTTATATACCCTTTACGGAATGTCCAGTGGCGAATGATAACTACCCTTTTTAATGTAAATTTCTGTGCAGATTATTTTAATCACGTCGAAATGGTTATAACTTATATCTTAAAGTTTTTAGAAAACACATAATTCTAAAAATGTATTTCATAAAAAAAAAAATGTGTATTAGTTATTTGCCGTTATCGCGTATCGTAATGTTATCAAGCTTATTTAAGATTAAGGTCGTTTCACACTAACGATACGGTCTCGGTCCTTCGATGGGAACTAAGTAGGTATCTGCCGGTCTTCGTAAAAATAACTAATTTACGAGACAAAACAAAACATTTAAAAAAATTTACATTTAATGTATATTTTTAAAACTTTTATAATTTCAAGTAACAAATATACATAAAAAAAAGAACTAAAATTGAAAATATGGTCTAAAAATGTCAAAAAATGCTTTAAACACCAAAATCGTTCAAAAAATACAAAATAAAAGTTTCATTTTTAAATTCTGTGATGTATGAATCGAATTGAGTACTTGGAAAACATTGCTCTATGCCAATCACTAAAAAATGTATTTTGCATCAAAGCCCATTCTCTAGTTATAATATCATTATAAATTTATTCATTCATATTACTAATACTACACAAAACTACAAAAAACATATTTAAAGTGTTTTGATTAAAAACAATTATTCTTACAACCGAAGGCCAAATTGTGAGACCATACGAGGCATTGAATAATAAGTAATAACACAAAAACAGTCCACAAAAATACTATAGTGTATATTTTCATCAAGTTGTTGGGAATTTAATCGTAAAATTTAATATTGCTTAGCTGCAGCCCGCTGTCTCATATACGGTCTTAATAACAAGACCTACGTAAATTTCCACACAGTGTGTCAGTGCTAAATTTAAATTGTACCACACCTCTGTTTATTATTATATTTTTTTTTTTGCGTACATAATAATACATATTAAATTAAAAATATAAAAACAAAATATAGATTCGTATTATTGTTTCGACTTCGGAGACGATTGTTTTCCGTAAATATAAATAAGTCATACCGGTACATTATTACATATTTTAATATTTATTTACAAATATATAATACATTTTATTTACATATGTATATATTAATAGCACATTTAAATTGTTTTGTTATTTACAGTTTGAAGTATACACTGTACAATGTACATGTATGATGATATAATGTATAATCATTGAGCTGAATCAATTTGATAAAAACTGCGGCAAAACATTCTTCATATTATTTATTACAGTAAGATTAACACGCATATAAATTCTGGACCTTATTAATGATTTCAATTTTTTTAAGAGAATGTCAGTAGTGCACTGTTTGTTTTTTCAGCTCTCTGGTTCACATGTAATACAGATAAGATTTGGGTTTAGTGTAACGAACTTTGTGCTGTTAGCTTTAACATTAAAGTAAATTAACTTGTCATATAATTTAACTTAGAAACATATTTAAGTATATGTTTGCAAATTACATTTTTACGATATTTAAATGTTTCTGCCGTATATAAGAGCATTTTTAAATCTACTCATAGCTTACATAAAAATGTAAATATCGGCCTTAAGTCAATAAAAAGTATTCATTTGTTAAATATCATATATTAGAATATTATCGCAATCAACATACATTTATTGTAGAAACCTACATAAACCTTAAACTTATCGACTGATGGTTACGGTATCGTACGGTGGAGAATATAAATTATTATTTTATTCGTTCGCTTGTGTGTACACCTCTATATAATCAATAGGTTAGGTCCAGGATTAAGTACCACATAAGTAGTGTAACTGAATTCATTGTAATATAATTAATTATAAGCACCCATATGATATATTCATATGCATTATTTCAGCGTCGGTGTGGGGATGAAAAATTTGAAAATTCGAGATCGCGACGCATTATTGTCTTGTTACGCATCATTACAATATTAACAAAGATAATATCGTCGAATCCGGTAAAACGTATAGGTTAGGTTAAATTTGTGTACCAGTTACGCTTGGTTAGTGGGCTTGTGCCTTATTTATGGACAGCTAACTGCTAAATAATATATTAAGATCCCCCCTACACGTCGAGTGATGGCCTTCGCATGGTATATTATTGATGACGTGCGGAAGTAATAATATTTTTCTTTTAAAAAAACATTGCACCACCGTGTTATTTTAAGGCGAAAACTCGGCGTTACAACAATAATAACTGGTATTTATAAACAGCTGATCCGCGAACAGACATAGTCCCGGCGCGTAAAGCCGAATCAATGTCCGATGACAAAAAGATCGCGCGCAAGTTGGCAGATGCCAGACGTCTAGAAATAGATTGTAGTGTTTACCGCGGCAGTTAGATTTTTGTGTTTTCGCGCATTCGAACCGTAAAAAGCCTTTGGATACAACAGGTAGTGCCGCCGAATGTTCTAACGCTTTGAATGCTGCAAAATCATAACCGCAGAAACATGACAAAAACTACCGAAGAAGCCGGATACGATCTCGTCCAGGTAGGTTCCTACAATAATTAATCAATACATTGTTATTATTATTATTATTATCATCATCATCATCATCATTCTCGCGAACACGATTTGTTTATATATGTTTATGCGGATTGACCTTAGATTTTTATTTCAAAAATAATTTAGCACGTTCCAAAAAACGAGTATAATATTATCAACGCGTCCAAATACCGTTAAAAATAATATTTTGTTATAAAAGGACATCGATTTACCGACTAGCTAATTATTTTTGTGAATAAGTAACAAATCGTATAGGGTGTTGTATGCCAAAAAAATTATAATTTATGAATCGAGGCTCATGAAAATAAAAATAAAATTTAAGTGCACTCTTAGAACATTGAACCATTTTTAGATAAGAAAAACATTGAAATAAGATTATTTTAGTGCATAACTTAAAATACAGCAATAAAAAACGTCGGACATATATTATACTATTCTCTCTCTGTACGAAAAATTAATGAATTTCTTTACTCTCCAATTGACATAAAAATTGTACTCAACTCTTTGAAACAATATTTTATTTATTTTATTGGATTATGAATTATGATAAATACTAATAAACAAAGTTCGGGCCTATAGAAATTGTATAGCTTTTACTAACCATTATATAATACATATAAACATAGGTTCCATGTTATAAAAGAAAAATTATCTACAAAATTTATTTATACATTTGTATGATTCCAAGTATAAAATTGTGTATTCTTTATTTTTGCATATTTTAAGTAATATTTTTCAAGTTTTCATGCTATTTTTCTACTTATATTACTAATATACATCAAATTTATTTTATGGTATACTTTAATTGAATAAAAATGCTATGAAAAAATGTTATACGAATAGATAAGCAAAAATAACAAAATTTAAATGCATTAAACCGTTGTTTCGATTTAAATTCACTTCTCTTTTTATTTATTTTAAGATTATTTTACTTAAATAAATTTTTTATTTTAATGCAAAATAATAAATTCAATTTTTTTTAATAAATCAGTTTGCTAATAAAGAATACAGTTTAATCTTAAATAAATATTCAACTGCTTAAAATTAAATCTCATATCGTATATTTTTAATTAACTTAAGTACCTAGATACATTGTATATATTATGTAAATAATGAAAATTAATATTAAAACGTATAAGAAATCAAGAATCTAGTTTACATAATACATTATGTATTCATTTTTTGTAGGCTTTACTCAAGTTTCATGATGGCACTCATGGTGCACGAGAACGCATGGTTCATAAACCTGGTTGGAAAATGCTTTTTATGATGCTGAAATATTTAAACTGCTATCCGGAATTAAGTAAGTGAGCCAAAATATATAATGCACGACTTGTAGAATTATTAACGTAAAAATTATTTCTAAAAATAGATGTTTGAACTTGAAAAAATTTAAACACCTATATTTTTAGTGACATGCATTTTTTCCATGCCGTAACATTCGAGTATTGTATAATATACATGATAATAAAAATATATTGTTTCACCTTCGTATATCATCGATTGATGTTTTTAAAATATTAATTTATTTTAAAATTATAATAACCAAAAAGCCAAACAGTATTATGTAAAAATAACCTAATATTTCTCTTATTTTTATAATTTTTATACGCGTACATTCACACAAAACGCAGAAATAATACAATTAAGTGTTTTGTATTTTTAATAAATGATAAATAATTCACACGAACAAAATAAATTATTATTGTAATATACTTTCATTGTTGCTGAAAATATTCAATTTAATAAACAGTATTATTTTTTTTTACAATCAATGAATAAAATAAACATTAAAGATTATTTTAACACACCTTTTTTTTTGAACGAAAACGTGGGAAATAACAGTTGAAGCACTTGGAGGCTAAAATCATAGTATGTGATTTAAATATAACCAAAATATTTAAACGTGTTTATTCTAGTTGTATAAGATTTTAATGCACATTTTAATAGGCTAGGCATCTCGAATTTCAACTCTTTGTTATACTTTTATTTAAACTAATTATAATTTGATTTTATTATATTATAATTCAAAACAATGTCTACTTTGTATAATCGTGAATTTGTGCAGTAAAAATAAAAATAATAAAATACTGCAGTTATTATTGCAATATTACACAATTATGCTTATATTACAGTTCTCATTAGTCATTTATCAATTATCATAGGCGAACATTTGATTTTACTAATATATTAATAGCAACGTTTATAACTCAAAAGTATGTTTGCGTTCCTATGGAAGGGGGAATCGTAATGCATTTCAACATAATGTATTTTAACTCTTACGCTTCAACTTTCCACGATAAATATTTAGTCAAACTACTAAACATTTTACCTAACCCCTTACAAACCATTATGTTTATACTCTTTTTATTAATTTATATAATTACCAATCTTCCCATATGGTATTATCACTTTTCCTCGATAAAAATTATTTACTCAAGTCAAATTTTTGTTTATGAAGAAACAATAAAAATGCACACACCATTTACTCAAATTTGTGTAGTTATGTGAATTTAAATAACATTTTAATGTTTGATTCCACAGATTCAATGCCGTATCAGTTGACACCAATTGTACTGCACGTGCCACCCGAATATCGTCAAATCATCCTGAAGAATCCTATGACCATTAGAAGACGTTATGTAGAATTATTGCCTATCAAATATGGTTATCGAGAATTTTGGAAGACTCATATAAACCGTTCGAGGGCGTTGCCTTATCAATATTTATTGTGGGAAGGTGGTTTCGTACTGATTGTATTTTGTTTTTACGCAATTGGTTAGTAAATTAAATTACGATTAATAATTTAGAACTTCGATAACTTGAAATTAGAAGTAAAATATAAGTAATTTTTTATTTAAATACGAATTACAGGCGATAATGTCATACGTGTAGTGAATATCACAATACATTTTTCAAAGAATGACGTACAGCCCGAGCCTTTGTGCTATCAAGATAAGCTTATGCTGGAAGAGGTGAACTAAATTATATTAATACTATAGTTAATTGTACTTTAAAAATGAATAATATAACTATAAATTATGTGTTTTTAGTGTTACCCATTAGATACATTCAATCCCGGATTTGCGTTACCCAAACCAGTATCAATCAACACAAACAGGTAACTATTGAAGTGTAAAATATTTTGTACGTTTATATACCGAAAATGCAATAAAATGTTAATGCAATAATATAAATTTTCCACGAAGGTGGACAATTTTGCGGGAGTTGAAAGAATCTAGTGACAAAAAAGGCAACGAACTATTCTTGCTATCGCTATCGCCTCTAATGGACGAATTATCTGATCAAATTCTAACGGATACAAGACGCAAAATGTTACAACTATTGGAAGATGCTATGAGCTGGAGAACAAATTTTGATCATTAGAATGCCGCTCCAATCGTGTACTGTAATTAAATTTAAAAATGTACATGAAAACATATTTATTAGTTTTTTCACTTATTTGTAATTATATTAGGTACCCATATACTACTTATACCATTAGTACCTACTACCTATGACTATAAGTTTTTATTTATATTTATAAAATGTTCCCATTATATTTGATTGCTTATTGACCTCATAGTATATTATATTATTAATTATTTGTATAAATAGCGTTAAAATTTATTGTAAAAGTTATAAATTATATTTTAATAATATTTTTATTTTTTAATACTTTTATAGTAAGTACAAGCACTAGGATACGTCATGTGTTTGTATACCTGCGTTTGTATACTTTAAAAAAACATTTATTTTTATAAAGAATTTCCTATAAGGCTATAACGTGTTCGGGTATTGCACGGTAATATCCACAAACAATGAATATGTCCAGCATATATAGTCAGCACAATATTATGTGCAACCCAATAAAATGTTTTTTCAGACCAGATGTCTGTTGAAAATAACCATTCTGGCATTGTCACGTAGGATACTACTGCATAGAAATTAATCACTTACTTATTTGAAAGGCACTAAATAATTTAACCATTTAGCAAATCACGTACCTCCAATCATGCGGCTTATAGAAACTACACTTTTAAATAGACCAAAAAAAAAAATAAAATATAAAATATATGCCTACGTGGAATTATGGAAATATATTTTCGTGTTCAAAACCAAACATTCATATAATATATCCTGGGGACAACAATGATTCGATGATTTTTAATGGATTCCTTTATATCAGCAGTTCTCAAACTGGGCTCCGCAATGGTTTCCCAAGGGCTCCGTTCATTATTGTCCGTATGTATACAGTTCGTGTTAATTATACTTCATAGAACACAGGCAAATGCAAATGATCGTTAAATATTTCTTGGGGCTCTACGAGAAACTTCTCCTTAAAAAAAGGCTCCGAGGCTGAAAAAGTTTGGGAACCGCTGCTTTATATGATAGAATGTCAGTCACAATAATTTCCAAGAAAAAAAAGGTAAGAGCATTGCCTGTCCTGACATTCAATAACTATATAGTCATCTTATTCATTTATGCTTACAGAAAATGGATATACCCAACTAATATTACAAATACATAGGAAGCCCATGATATATAAATATCATACTATAATTTATATAGGTATTGCAGATGTACAAGTATTATATTAGTATTATAATATATTGTGAATGTTTTATTTTTTTTTAATAATTATGTTGTATTTTCTATAACATTCGTTATCACTTATTGCGTTTTTCAAAATCTAGGTAAAGTTGACAGGATTTTCAGGATTCATTGAACTATTAATTAATAATTTAGTATCTAATAAGACTAATACTTATAGATATACATTTTTAGAAATTTAAATATTTCTAAATGACTAGAAAGACAAATCTTATAAAACATAAATACATAGGTAACAAGACATGTATTTAATATGCGTTACTTGTATACCTACATTATTAATTTATTTAAACAATATGCAGATCATTATAACTGTTATAATAGCAACACAAACATAAATTTTTGTACATTTGTAATATTTTGTTGTTTCCCTAAAATCCTGTAGTATACACAGATTATAGTACATAATTAATAACGGAAATGAAGCGCTTCACGTCGAATAATATTATTAACGCAATATTAATTAACTATCAACATGTTAATGCAAATGTATATTTATTAACCATTTATAGATAAATATTTTAAGTTGTATTACAATAATATATGTACATTATATCCCCAGAAGAAATAATAATTGTATTTATTTTTTCCTCGACTGATAATACAATTTAATTCAATTTTGATTCCCCGATGCGAATTGCACGAATAATAAGAATAACATATAATAAAACAAATTCCTGTTTAACAAATACATAAAATACATTGATGTTACACTATCCCGCAGTCTGAAGGTGAAAAGGTAGAATGCTCTAACTAAAACGGACGATAGAATATTTGGAATGCTTATAAATAAAAATGTATACAGCTGTTCTTATTATTATTACGCATAAAACAAAACTTAAAAGTATCTACCAAACCAATATATTTTCTTTATTTTTACTTTATTTGTCAATTATCATAATATATCAAAACGTGTACCAGATAACTGTTCTGTTATAATTTAAAATTTAACATATTTATTAGTGATTTTCAATTATCTATGCTATTTTAAGTAATTTAATACATGTTTAATGCTCCTGTTATTTTATTGCTTATTGACTCTATCATAATATATCATAAATAACTTATTTGTGTTAGTATAACGCGTAGCTCGTAGGTCTTACGTTCATACATATTATTATTTAACAATTGATTATTTAAATCTATTCTATTATGTTTAAACGTTATATTTTGTCTATGATGATGGCTAAGAAAATATCAAGTTGCCGGGGTTATTAAAAGTGAATTAAAAATGACCATATTTTATAACTATATATACAAGTGTACTACACACAATCATAATATAATATTATGATTCAAATTATTTTCGTTTTGTTTTTATTATTTAATGTGGTGACATTGGAAGGAAATATGTCGAATTATGAAAACAAAGGTCTTATAGCCAACGGACAAATATACGACGTCGAGAAATATCCGTTCGTAGTGAGCATAGTAATAAACACCTTCCTAAATTCCATTGCGGCAAAGGCTATTTGCACGGGCTCGTTAATATCGCAATGGTTCGTGTTGACCGCTGCACATTGTACTCAAAACACGACAATTGCTGACATAAATGTATTCTCACTTTTAAACTCGCATTTGTATGCGATTAAAAAAATTATATTTTAATGTAAAGTTCCGAAACGTTTGCAGGTATTTCACGGTAATAGTCACCAGCAGATTCGGCACATATATCAACACAATATGTATAATCCAATAACATTTTTAGCAGACATCTGTTTGTTGAAAGTAAGCACTCTGTGACATTTTAATCTGTAAATATAATAATTATATTATATTTTTGTTAAAATATTATTGTAATATTATGACGAGTGTGGGCGTGTTGTATAGCTAGTCATGTTATTTGCTCTCAGAAGTCCAAGGTTTTTTCGACATAAATATCATATCTATAATATTATCATTTATATGTACAACCTACACTATTTTCAATAGAATTATCGTAAAGGGTACAATACGCATTAAGAAAATAATATTGATTTTCCGCATAACAATAAGTACTTACTTTGGTATTTTATTTTTATTACATAGGTAACTATTTAATTTATCCAAACGTTCCTCGCCAAAAATTACAATAATAATAATCGAATATAGTTTAGATGATGTCTAAATATATAATATAAAGTAAGCTTTAACTATGAGATAATATATGTACCTACTATATTATAACTTTTAAACTATTTGCACATTTATTTATGCTACTTTTTATTTTTAAAGATTTTTTCTAAACATCGATTATAATTTTTAACGCAAATGTATTTTTATTTTATTTTTTAAATTGTACAAATTAAATTAGTGTACACAAAATATGTCTATATTAATCGATTAGTGTAATGTATAATATATTTATGTATTATAAACTTAAACAGTTATACTTGGGATTTAGTTACGAAAACCGTTTAAGAATGTCGACCGTTATATAAGTGTATCTGGCCATCCTGACGATTTTTCTCATGGCAAAAGCTTGAATTGTGTAGTTATTGGGTTTGGAATAACTGCAGATGTTTCGAAACCTAACTTGATAGGGTACATGACTAATTCAAGTGTCACGTACGGTCCTACAGCATGTCAATTGTCTAACAGGTAGGTTGATAGGTACTATGTAATTTAATAATTTAGCAGATCCTTTACCGCCTATCACGACTTATAGAATCTACACGTTGAAATAGATCGAATATAATAGATACGTGGAAAGAATATTTGTGTTCAAAACCAGACATCCATATGGTATGTCCTGGGGACAGCGGCGGCCCATTGATTTGTAATGGATTTCTGTATGGAATAGCCAGTCACGGATACAATTTTAAAGAACTTAGTAAGAATTTCGAATGTGGAAGTTCCGACATTCAGACTAGACATTTATTCGTACATATTTACGAAAAATGGATAACTAATATAATAACAAATATAGGAAGCCCGTTAATATCACATTTTAATTTATATTTTATTTCTATTATGTTAGTATTATACACCGTAAATGTTTTATAAAATTATAAAATTGTATAATAATATATTATACGCAATATTACAAGAATAACTATTAAAATTTATTATAAATTGTATTACCCATAAAGAATTATAAAAATGAATATATATTACTTAACATGTTTTATTCTTTCTTGGAAATTAAACATGTACGGTCCACTAACAGTATGAATGTTTTATTAATTTTCTATTTATATTGTAATCATCGTTATTTATCAACCATTTTAAGTTCAATGTTATATTACAATTATTTTGGTCTTCCGATGAAACGGTAATCAAATTTCGATTGATCGAAATTTCTAAACTACGTATACTCACGATAAAAAGCGCACTCTCTTGGAATAAATAGTTGTATCTACACAGGATTAGTTAAACAATTGTATTTTTGTATAATACAAGAGATCGCGGTAGCTGCAAACATACACATAATTATTAATTTTCAAAAATTAGTATCTAGTTAGTAGTGTTATTTAAACTTATTTTGCACAAAATTATTTTTCAAACATTTCACAAATTTTATTCTAGAACTAACATTAACTTCGATTTCATTAAGCCATTGAAAGTGAAAAGAAAAATGTTTACACAATAATCAATTAAGTATTAACATCTAACAGTTCTTCCACTGCACTGAGAGCTCCTTCATTCTCAGAAACGTGTCTTTTTTTTATTCTCATCAGTTATTACATTTAATTGTTCCCCTGTCATTTAAACAGATTGTATAATAAAAAATTATTTAAAATTAAAAATAATTGATATTAACATAAAAAAATTAAAAATTAGACATTCGATAATATTAAAATAATGCATGACGATAGTACAGTATACAGCCATCAGTCTTATAGGTATAAAATATAAATATATAGCATAATAATTTTATGTATATCTATATTTTCAGTTTTCACAAATATTTTATCTTAATGCGAAACTGACGTATTTATATCTACCTACTACTTTCGAACACTTATAATACAGTAAAAAATACTTTCCTAATTTCGACACTAACGAAACCATTTAGATGACACTTCACCCTTGTGTGCTGTCACTATCGTCTCCGTCTTTACCACGTATACAATGAAATATTTGCGTTCAGTAAATAATCAAATTTAAATGTAAGAATATTTTGTAGGGTTTATACTAACAATGTTTAGCGAATATAAGCATTTTAAAATAGCAATATTTTACTTAATAATAAGTCATATAACTCACCTTAAAAACAAAATACCAATAAATGCCTATGACTTACGAGATACTTTAGATCAGGCATGCCTTACCTTTTTCAACTTGCGGACTGTATATAATTCACTGTTTTTTTTTTTCTATTAATTTCGATAAAATGTACAATAGATATATATTATTATCTTTATTCACTTATCGAATTTATGACTCTAATTTTATGTGTGTTTAAAGTACTAATCTAACCTAACGCTAGTTGCTAGTTTGTTTTAGTCATTAGAAACTGCAGGTCGTATTTATTGTTTGCAAAAAATAATTAATTCAATTTTAATTCATAAAATGTCTCAAAATAAAAAGCGCAAAATTGATACCGAATGTCGTGTTTTCAATTATAATTGGAGTCTCTCTCTTATTTATTTATTGAATATTATAATAATACAATGTGTTTGATATATAGGTACTATACGAAATTATAAAATTACAACTTTTTAAAAACCAAATCTTAAATCAAAGTTTTTTACAATTTAAATAAAACGTATCAAGATATTAAACAAAACTCTTTTATTGACATTCCGATGAATCATTTTGTGAGTATGTTGGAGCAATCATCAATATATTTTGAAAACCGTTTTCAAGATTTCAAATCACATATTATGATTTTATTTCGGATAATTGAAAATCCATTTCCAAAAATCAAAGAATTATCAATGCGTGTATTTACATAATTTGGTTCTTCTTATATTTGCAAAAAAACATTTTACCGCATAAATTACGCAAAATGATCAGCTAATTCTCGTTTGACTACTACACACTTACACTCCTTATTAAGAATTGACGTTACATATTTCACTCCGAATATTGAAAGAATGGTTAAAGAAAAACAAGTCCAAACTTCACTCTATAATTTATTTTTATTAATATTCTAAAATCCAATACATTTCTGTATATTAAATTTTAATAATTAAAATTAAAAATTATAAGGTATTTTGTAATTCTTTGTAATTCTTAAAAGTTTATTAATATAACATTTTTTAAATTATAATTTTTATTTTTATTTTTTTGCACCTTTACAAATTTATTATTTTTATAAAATGATCACGAGCCAGTTGAAACGCAGGCCTGCAGACTGGACACTCCTGTTCATGCAGTGTTCTAGATAATATCACTACCTTTAAATTCGATAATAATTAAATTCACTCTAATGTTAAACTATAAGAACACTAAATTGGTTTTTATGAACATAAATTGTTATCAAAACATAAATTACAATAAAATAAATGTATAAATGACATCTGCTTTTGAATTTATTTAAATTATAATATTATACAAGCATAGGTGAATATTTGTTTTTTTAAGAGGAAAGCCCCAAATTAATGTAAAACTCAATTACTATTTACATGGTCCATGGATGTATACATGGTACACACAATCCCATTTTGAAGTTATTGAAATTTCTGTAAGGGTATTCAACCGCACACTCGTTCTACCACGATGTCTACAAATAAACAATGAATGTATATGTATATCATACAACATACAGTTGTTAATATTAATCAATAAACGCAGCATAAAGTATAGTAGACTTATCCAACAAAATTATACATACCTATTATTATACATTATAATTTTTATCTACAGTCAATTATCAAGTACTTATATTATATACCTAAAAATTAAAAAAACTATTCGATATTCTATTTTTTTAGTTAGTTAACAATTGTTATATATTATATTATTTAACCGTATAGGTAGCAAAATATAGGTATCTACTTACAGATTAAAAACACCATTGCATATATGTTTTAGGTTCTGGATGAAGCAATAAATATATTGATTTTATAATGATGTGTTGTTTTTTTTTTTTGATAACGACTGCACGATAAGTTGTCGATAAAATACTTAGATTTTTAACTTTGAAAGTGACTTAAGATAAGAATAGAGAAATTTACGATTGGGTAAAATTGATAAAAATGTTTGAAAATGTAAAATACAAGGGTTCTAAATAAATGATTTATTGCCCAATTAAAAAGTATCGAAAATTTATAGTCATGATATATTTTATAAGCATTTAAATTTAAAACTTAAACAATATTCATGAACATCTCGAAAAATACAAGTTATTTTGTTATTAGAAATAGATACAAAAAATGTCTATTTATACGTAAAATTTGAAAATTGAATGTAAGGTTCTTTATAAGTGTTTTAACTTGCACAAAAAAAAAATCTACGACAAAGTCAAATTCATTTTTATGAGCATTTGAAGTTCCAATTTTTACATTGAATATTCAACAATAAAACTATTTCTGATCAAACAATATTTGTTTTTAAACTAATCGTAGATACTTGAAATTCGCACAAAATTATTATATTATCATTTTCATTATGTGATAAGATTTTCAACATCAAGTAAAAAATGGCTTTAATATCTATATCAAGAAAAAAAAAACATATTACGAAATATACTCGTACATTTGGTATATGCCAACAGACCGTTTTCACTCAAAATCGTTATTAGTATATAATGATATAACATTGAATTCAAATTTAACACACATACACATAATAGTGACCCACTCAACACCTAATGGCTAATGGCTATTATACTGCAGAACGGTGTCTACTTGCATGCGCCTCTTTTAAAATACTAATACAACTATTGGTAATTGGTATAATCACTTGACATCTATAAAACTTAAGTGGAATTCTAAAGAAAACATATTTTAAATTTTTTATATTCTACTATAAAAATTATTATTATTATTATTGGTTGAAATTAAACTTAACTAATACTAGGTAACCTTCGTAACAATTAGCGAGTCATTTTAATACCACTAAGTGCATATTACAATTGATTGAACAACGAAAACCTTGCATTATGAATTTCGATCATATATAATTCTACACAGACTATATCTACACAATTAATACTTCACATATTATTATACTAGAGTTGTACACCTACTTATACAATATAATATGCTTTATTATATTGATGATAACCAACAAAGTTAGCTTTCACATAACTGCCTGATGTTTACAAGCTACTAAAAGCAAATTAAAATTTTATTTTGACTATTTTTTTTTTTTATTTATAAAAATGTATAGCATTTGCTAACAATAAAATCAGTGATGCCTTCTGATATTAATGTTTCTTGTCAATTGTCATACAAATAACGGACGGTACAAAAATGCTCGTTTAGAATTAATCGGAAAAAAGTAGAAAAATATTTTATAAAAACATGTTAAAATAGCTATAAGTAAAAAATTAAATATTGCAGTAGACAAGTCGTCTACACATTCACACTATCACATTCGAAAGTTGAAATGATCTTGTTTTCTTGAAATAACAAAGAGCTTCAGTGTTTTTAATGTTTTTATAGACTGCTGTTATCTTTACGTCATTACTCTAGTTTTGTTATTCGTAAACGTTATGCAATCGGTAGAGACAAAGTGTTGCAATTTACCAGCGAAATAAAATAAAAACGTAAATCATTTCCGAGAGATGATGAAAACTCACGGAATATTATCCAATGGCAAATTATAGTTATTTCGAGATATAATAATATAATACAGTGAACACCCTCCTCGTGATCGAGATGGACCACATTGCAAAACGCATGCATGTTAAACGACGGTAGAGAAATGGAAGAAAGTAGTATTATTCGTTTGATCGCAAACGTTGAAAGTTCCGAGTTTCAGGACCCCCTTTGGCGGTGGCTCGGGTTTGCGATATCCGGAACAGTGGTCCGCGGGCCCTCCTCGACGTAGGGCACCGTCTGAAAATCGTTTAGAAGTTTTGGACCTGTTGTGTTGTAGACAGGCCTTTGCGG